TCTGAAAATAGGGGCGCATTCGATAATAGGGACACAGTTGTCCGAAAAAATGGTCCTATTTTCGAAACGTTCGATATGTGATACGTTCGATTTTTGAGGTTTCACTGTATTTACTTCTAGTCTGTCAACTGAGTGCAAGAAACCACCCATTCACTTATTTCAACTACCCAATAAAGTGGTCAGAAATTGGCAATTTGGCCAATTTCACACAAATTTCAACAGATGCCAATTTCAAAATAGGGTCCAGAATAAGCAATGCAGACATTCCTGGCACTAAAATAACATTTTCTCTGTTCATTAATCATGGCTACAGGCCCCTCTTATATTACTCTTGCTTACCATTTGGAATTTTTATTCACAAAAAAAAAAAAATAGAAGATTTACTGTTATGCATTATTGTAATAACTGTATAAATAATGTCAATCCATTCTTGACTCCGTACTGGAATTTAGACTGGCAGGCAGACAGGTATTGGAGGGTGACGTCATTTGTTTACTCTTGAGCTTCACTAAAGAATAGAACATTTTTGCTACTGTGAGCACAATTTCAAGGTACTTTTCATCATGAAAGCAATCAAAATCATATCTATTTCTGTAATATATCTTTCATTCTATCTAATGAGACCAAAAAAATGAGAATATAACCATAACAACCATACAAAAATAACCGCTAAGCGGCTGCTAATGGATGAGAAGCGAACTCTGCTATTTATGGTCTGATTTCTTTCATTTTTGGTGTACATGAAGAAGTATCTTTCCATCATACATTGCCCAAGATTGAATAAGATAACCCAACAAACAACTGAGAAAATAATAATAATAATAATAATATAATAATAATAATAATAATAATAATAATAATAATAATATAATAATAATAATAATAATAATAATAATATCTTCATTTACTACACGTACATGTACAAGGTATACAGGCCTAGCTGACATCAGTGACATACTACTGTATAGAAAGGTACTTGTTATATTGAGTATTTCAAGAAAATTAGGTCAGTGTCCCAGGATAACACCCACACTAGTCGACTAACACCCAGGTACCCATTTACTGATGGGTAAACATAGACAACAGGTGTAAAGAAACACGCCTAATGTTTCTACCCTGGCTGGGAATCGAATATTTACCAAAAATCATATACGGCTAACCCAAGCCAGGTACTAAAAATAAGCCACGTTGACTTTTTGGGGTTATCCTAGGTTCTCTACACATATGCTGCTATGTGTGATAATCTATAGAGAGAAAATAACTTTTTTGTTTCAGGTTGATGGTGGAGTACGAGTGTATATCATAGTTAGCCCTGTGCTATACTCCGTTTTCTCTAATATAAGCCCCCAAGACAAGGATAGGAGAATGGTATTTGTTTACCATATCCTCTTCATAACTCTGTCGAACTGCTCGGTGTTATGCCAAATATTGTTCATTCTGGAGTATTTAACATGCTTTATGTTATTTATATTGTTTATTATGTCATATTAGATCAATTGTGATAGGCAAATAAGCTGTAGTGTTGATATTAGCATAATAATAAAGCATATTCTCCTGCATCACGAGACTGAGCTCATAGCAACCGACAGTGGCTTCAAAGCCACCTTATCTTTAATGGATAATGTACTGTGTAGGTGCTTTACATAATGAGAAGCATTTCTTTTATTCATTGGGACCATGGCTAGGGCTAAAAGTAAGCAAGTTAAAACAATAAATGGAGAAAAAGAAATTGGAATGACTTATGCAGCAAGTAGCGCCACCAAACAGTACCAGCAGGTTGGTGTGGTGACCCTGGAAATTTGAAATTATGCTAGCCAAAATTAGTGCCGAATAACTGAAGGAACCGAATAACTGATTGCCGGATTTGTGATGGCGGACCTGTACTTGTGTCACCCTAGATTAAGACTACAAATATTTTAAAGTAAGTAATGAGTGTACTATACTTTTTTATTGCTTTTTAATGCTTAGTTCTACTGCTAACCCCAATGGAAATAAGTCACACTGTCTGACTTTTTTGGGTTATCCTAGGTACTTTACATATATGCTGCTATGTATGATAATTTATGTATTTGCATTTGTGTATATCTGAATAAACTTACTTACTAACTTAATATATGTTAGTGTAAACTTGTTATCAAGTATTTGTATGCATTTGTAAGTAGAATAAAGAGGTGTTCCACTTTACGGCAATTTCCGCTTTACGGCGGTAGCTTGGAACCTAACTTGCCATATAAGTGGAGCCCTACTGTATTAGGTGAAGTCTGCCCGAAATGCCTTGGCATGATAGTGGCTTTCTTTGCTCCAACCATATGATGATATGCAAACACACATTGTAACCTTTGCAAAGAAATAAAATATTTTAATTTATTTATTTATTTAACCCTTAAATTGTCCAAACATAGATCTACATTCACTCACGTGGTGCTCCGAATATTTTGAAAAGTAAAAAAATAGTTTTTTTCTCTTAAAATGAAGAGAACATTTTTCTACGTGTTATAGGATAAAAAAAAATTTTAGGGTCAGTACTTACCAAGATATAAGACTGTGAAGTTGGCACTGGATGCTCACCTGTCAGCAACACCAACTCCTGTCGCTTGCAGAAGTGTTGCCGATATACCTTTTTTTTCTCATTTTTATTTTAATTCACATATTTTTTATATTCTGATAATTACAATTTATAATAGTTCTTGTAATTTCATAGCCAATCTTTGTTCTGACACTAATATTAGGTACTGAAATAGTGCTCAAATAGTCACAATCACACTAACAGGTGAACATTTACACCTGCCTGGGTTATTTACTATTGTCTAGAAATATATATAAAGTATTTATAGGTCCCAGCAATGTTTTAGATACCCTGGCATATACCTTGAAGCATGTTGTTATGAAAGGCATCCCTATACTGTTGATAGCCCAGTGATATTTGATAAATGCCCACTGCTCCAGCTAACCCTCACTGTATTTTTTATCACTGTTACACACAAACATGTCTTGTCTCTGTCTATTTATCTGTCAGTCTATCTGTCTATTTATCTGTCAGTTTATCTGTCTATTTATCTGTCAGTCTATCTGTCTATCTGCTTGTCTGTCTGCCTATCTATCTATCTGTCTGTCTGTCTCTCCTTATCTGTCTTTCTGTCTGCCTGGAGTATAGGATATCAAACTCCTTGAAGAATGGTGTTATGACATCTGTTATCAGCTCGGTGACATTTGATAAATGGGTGCTCAGGGGAACCCTGGCTTTATTTGTTTTCACTGATACACACAAACAAGTTTCTGTCTATCTGTGTGTCTGTCTATCTATCTATCTATCTGTCTGTCTATCTTTGCCTGGAATTTTTGGATTATCCTAAGTAATTTACACTATGTATAATAACTGTACTTATGTGTACATGTGAGATAGAGATACAGATAGACAGAGATATAGACAGAGATATAGACAGATATATAGATAGACAGAGATATAGATAGACAGAGATATAGATAGACAGAGATATAGACAGATAGAGATATAGACAGATAGAGATATAGGCAGAGAGACAGCCAGAGACAGCCAAAGCAAGGCAGCTGGCCAGCCTGCCGAATACATAAGAATATAAGAAAGAAGGAACACTGCAGCAGGCCTACTGGCCCATGCAAGGTAGGTACATGTCACACCCCCCTCCCCCAGCTTGTACAAATGACCCACCTAGTCAGGTCACATCCACTGAAGGAAGGAGCATGACATCAGACTTAGTAGCACAAGCTAGTCAGATCCAACTCACACCCACCCACACTTACTCATGTATTTATCTAACCTGTTTTTACTTTACTATTTGCTCTAGCTGGTGTTCCCACAAGGTACTAAGTGCTCCCAGATTTTTTTATTAGTGCACACACTGAGTGCACAGACCCATTCTTTCATGTCTAGGTGACCCAAGCCTATTGTGCCAAATTTGAAGGAATGAAAAATAAAACGTTGATCTACGTTTGGAGCGCTATGCGTGCAAACGTAGAGCTATGTTTGGACAGTTTAAGGGTTAAGGAGCCTCCCTTGAGGGGGAAGTTTGCATCCTGAAATTTCGTTTGTATCCAGAAGCAAAAAATCGACCAAATGACGGTTCATATCCTGAAAAATTTGCATGGTGGGGCGTTCATAAGCCGAAGTTCCTCTGTATTATTGTTCCCCTATCCATCCTATCATATGCCTTTTCTAAATCCATAAAACAATGAAAACTTCCCTATCTTTATCTAAATATTGTTCGTTTATATGCTTCAATGTAAACACTTGATCAACACATCACCTACCTTTTCTAAAGCCTCCATGTTCATCTGCAATCCTGCTCGCCATTTTACCATTAATTCTCTCAATAATAACCCTACCATACACTTTACCTGACATACAGTAGGCTTATTCTCCTATAATTTTTACACTTTTTTGTCCTCCTTCCCTTTATACCAAAGAACTATGCATACTCTCTGCCAGTCCCTAGGTACCTTCCCCTCTTTCATACATTAATTGAACAAAAGCACCAACCACACATACATACATACACCTCTTCACATCTGCTGCTTATTCTCTGCAATGGTCTGATTAAACCATTGGTTGGCTGAATGTCTCCATAATGAAGATACTCAAGTGTTGCACCTGTACCTTAATCAACAAAAGTTTATGAAAAGAAGTCACAATGTCTAACTTTAAAGTATACGTATTTCCAAACATGGGTCTGTAAACCCAGGACAGCTATTGAAATTCAAGTTTGTTGACATAAATGAAGAGTGTTCAAGGAAGTGCAAGGAGTACAGAGATTGAAGAAACAAATACTGTATCAAAGGGAGATAAAAAAAAGAAAGAATTGCACACAGTATAAGTTAAAAGTGAATTATACTACTGTGTGACATATTAACGAGAAAAATTTACACTAAGCAATTAATATTTAAGATAAAATAAAAAAGAAAACTTCTCACATGATACCAAGAAATTAAGGCTGCAACAAACTGTATATTAAGCTAGGACTTACATTTGCGGTATTTATGGATGGCAGCACTGCAGAATTGAGTGCAAGTGTTAAATTTCTTAAAGCGGTTTCGATTGCCACCACAACCGCCATATACATATGCAATACATGACCCATGCTCTTTGCTGAAATGCCATCGTTTGTAACCATCTAAACAAGGCCCAGCATCCACATCCATTTCGCAAATCACTAATAAGGAAAGATAAATGTTAGTGAATGGCTTACCTAGAGTATTAAAGGAGATATTAACTTACAGAAAAAATGTTATATAAGAACAACATTGCAGGTAACAAAGCACTTGTTATAAGCTGAAAGATAAATTAAGATAAGTTCATAAACATTCCATAAAAGTCACAGCACAAATTACTGACTGGTTATAATTCAATAAGCAACACTACTAACATGAACAATGCTCTACCTAAAGCTTTATAAAATAATTAAACTAAAAGACTGCCTTCATTAGCAATGGAAAAAATACTGTAATAATTTCCATTGATGACCTCGATGATAGAGTTAATTTATTTAACCCTTTCAGGGTCCGTCCCGTAGATCTACGGCTTTACGTTCAGGGTCCAAACCGTAGATCTACGTCATGAACTCAGCTCACTCTGATAAACTGTGAGTGGTACATTTGGGCCTAGATATGAGAGAATACATCTATGTGGTATGTGTGCACCACATAAAACAGATCCTGCAGCACACTGTGTATAATGAGAGAAAAAAAACTGAAATCATGATTTTTCTATTAAAACAGCGACTTTGCAGTGTTTTTTCGTATGTTTTTTATAGTCTCAATTGGTCTCAATTGATAGAATGGAAGACATATTACAGAAATAGAGATGATTTTGATTGGTTTTAGCACTGGAAATGGCTTGAAACTGAGCTCAAAGTAGCAGAAATGTTAAATTTTTGCCGATATTCAAGAGTAAACAAACGACCTCACACGTCTAATACACGCCAGCTGGTGGGTCTAATATGCATTCACAAATATGGTGATGATATTTATACAATTATTACAGTATTGCATAACAGTAAATCTTCTATTTTTTGGTGTGAATAAAAATTCATTATGTGAATAAAAAATCAAAATGGAATTTATTTGTAAAGCCTCAAAACGTAACTAATGAACAGAGGAAATGTTAGTTTAGTTCCAGGAATACCTACATTGTTTATTCTGGACCCTATTTTGAAATTGGAATATTTTGAACTTTGTGTTAAATTGGCCAAATTAACAATTTCTGATCGCTTTAATTTGTAGTTTAGACAGTTGACTTGCTGATTTCTTGTGCTCAATCGATAGAATAGAAGTAATACTAGTGAAATAGCTAAGAATTTGGTTGGCTGGAATAATGTAATTGGCCTAAAATGGGAGTCAAAGTCGGCAAAATCGCCGATTCGTAAATATCGTTGACACATCAAAATTTGCGAGAGCATAATTTCGTCAATTTTCCATCAAATTTCATACTTTTTGTTTTATTACCTTCACAAAAAGATTCTCTACCATTTCATAAGAAAAAATAACAATTTTTTTTTTTAAATTCTTGGACACTGGGGCACCACTTCAGATTTGGGCCTTGGACCCTGAAGGGGTTAAGGGTCAGGATTTTCAGTCATACCTGAGGGTGGCACAAGATGCAAAGAATTCTAATTCACTTATTAATGCTGTATTTAAGAACTTATTATATTGGTTAACCCTTTCAGGGTCCAGAGGCCAAATTTCAAAGTGCATACCAGTGTCCAAGAATTTTAAAAAAAAATTTTGTTATTTTTCTTATGAAATGGTAGAGAATCTTTTTCTGAAGGTAATAAACAAAAAGTATGAAATTTGATGTAAAAATTGACGAAATTATGCTCTCGCAAATTCTGATGTGTCAGCGATATTTACGCATCGGCGATTTAGCTGACTTGGACTCCCATTTTAGGCCAATTACATTATTCCAGTCGACCAAATTTTTAACTATTTCACTGGTATTATATCTATTCTATCGATTGAGCACAAGAAATTGCCAACTCAACTGTTTCAACTACAAAATAAAGTGACTGGAAATTGGTAATTTGGCCAATTTAGTGCAAAGTTCAAAATATTCCAGTTTCAAAATAGGGTCCAGAATAAACAATGCAGGTATTCCTGGCACTAAACTAACATTTCCTCTGTTCATTACTTACGTTTTCAGGCTTTACAAATGAATTCCATTTTGATTTTTTATTCACATAATAAATTTTTATTCAAACCAAAAAACAGATTTACTGTCATGCAATATTGTAATAATTGAATAAATAATATCAGCACATTTGTGAACATATATTAGACCCACCAGCTGGCATGTATTAGATGTGTGAGGTCATTTGTTTACTCTTGAACATCGGCAAAAATTTAACATTTCCGATATTTTGAGCTCAGTTTCAAGCCATTTTCAGTACTAAACCAATCAAAATCATCTCTATTTCTGTAATATATCTTCCATTCTATCAAATGAGACCAAGAAATTGCAAATACAACTATAAAAAACATACAAAAAACACTGCAAAGTTGCTGTTTTAATCAAAATTACGGTCTCAGTTTTTCTCTCTCATTATGCACTGTGTGCTGCAGGATTTGTTTTACGTGGTGCACACATACCACATAGATGTATTCTCTCATATCTAGGCCCAAATTTACAGCTCACAGCTTATCAGAGTGAGCTGAGCTCATGGCGTAGATCTACAGTTTGGACCTTCAATGTAAAGCCGTAGATCTACGGCACGGACCCTGAAAGGGTTAAAAAGCTAAAAATAAAGTATGTAACAAAAATGACGAGTGTATTGTATGCTTTCTAAATTCAGTTTAACTTCAGAATTAGATACATAAATAAATAAATAATCAGGCAGTAGGGATAGGACAAAACCAAATTTTTACTCATAGCTAAGTCAACATTTTCTTACAAAGAAACATTGTTTTCATAAGGTTCCAGAATTATATATGTACATAATACATTAACTGGCCATTTCTTAAAGCCTAATAATATTTTAGTTAAGATTTGAAATCACAGTAAAAGAAAGCAGATATGCAACAAACTATTTGTACTGTATTACATGCAACTCGTGCAAATAATATATGTAATAATAAGCAATTAGTTCTCATAAATTGAGGGATTCTGACATGCAATAAGGCAGTTCTGGTTTTTGCTTTTTTTTTTTTTTTTAACACATTGGCAATCTCCCACCAAAGAAGGTGAACCAAAAAAGAAAGAAACACTTTCACCGTCATTCACACATAATAAGTGTCTTTGCAAAGGAGCCCAGATATGACAATTTAGATGTCACTCCAAACAGCCAATATGTTCAATTAATGAAAGCAAGCCATTAAGGGACAAATTTGTATAGCAAGAGTTTGATTTACAAAAGGAATGATTTATGGCAAGGTCTGGCGAAGAGAGTAAATAAAAACAAGTGTAGAATGAACAGAAACCTACAAAACTTTACATAATTGGGCATAAGCTCACATAAATGCACTTAAATGATAGGAATATCAATGTGCTAATTTTAATTTCATTGCTTGTTACCATGCAATTAAACCCATTTTTAAGGTAAAGAGGAATCATAAACTTTTGAGCAGATCTTATGGCCCAGAAATAAAGACTGGCCAGTTTTTTATGAATTCATTTCCCAATGCTTTCCATATCATTCACTAACATTCTAAATAATGAATTGTATAAGGAATTTTTATTACACTTTTTGGATAAATTTTGCTATGCTCATACATACTGGAACATATCTTAATTTAAATAATGGAAATCTGTGGGGAAAACGGAATTCACCCTACAATAATTTCTTTTAACTAAGAAGCCCCTTCGCTGATTATGCAGGAACTGCTCATATACTGTATGTATAACAGTGTATATAATTGCATTATTAATGTAGGATGCCATATCAGTCAAAAATGCTGACTAACTCATTCTGGAGACTGTATGACTCAAGTCCTGGAGGTAGGAAGTATAATGCCTGTACTGTAAAGGAGGGGTTTGGGACATTAGCTGTTTGGAATGACATCTAAACTGTAGTATCTGAGGGCCTCTACAAAGACAGTGATTATGTGTGAATGATGGTGAAAGTGTTTCTTTTTTGGGTCACCTTGCCTTGGTAGGAGACGGCTGATGTGTTGAAAAAAAAATGCACTTCAAGAAGCTTCACTAATTTACTCATCTTCAAAAAATTATTACACTATCATAAAAAAATATTTTAAAACCTTATGTACTCTTAGCTAATTAATAGAAGTCACACATTATACACCAATATCATGAACTCTTACTGGTATTAGCTTCTTGAGTATTGTTGCCATCTGGAAGAATTGTATCATGGTAGATGCATTCTGCTTCGCACTCCTGCTCTGTTGAAAAGCGGTTTCCATTACCCTCGCAGCCACTGTACACGAAAGGTTTACACCGACGCATATAGGGGTCATGGTACCATTTACGGAATGACCCATCACAAGGGCCAGAGTTCAGTGGCAGATTACACACGTCTGGAATAATCAACAACAACAAAAAAAATACATAAATAGCCATTTTATAGCCTGTGTAATCTTTATCAAATTATCTCTCTTGATCAATCTCTCCCACTGGTGACAAACTGAGAAAGGGAACATGACAATCTATAAAACATAAAAAAAGTACTGAAGTGACTAGCTTTTTCAGCAAAACTAAAAGCTCATATAAAGCTCACTGTCCATTGAAAAAAAAAATAGCCTAATGACTGAATAAGCCTTAACCCTTAAACTGTCTGAATGTAAATATACGTTGACGTGCGGCAGGCTCCGAACGTAGATCTACTTTTTTCTTACATGCTTTCAAATGGGGAAAATCAAGGTCGGAGCGCTACGCATGTGAACGTAGATCTACGTTTTGACAGTTTAACCCTTTGACTGTTTTGGTCGTATATATACATCTTACACGCCACTGTTTCGGATGTATTAATACGCGTAAATTCTAGCGGCTTCAAATCAAGCAGGAGAAAGCTGGTAGGCCCACATGTGAGAGAATGGGGTCTGTGTGGTCAGTGTGCACCATGTAAAAAAAAACCTGCAGCACACAGTGCATAATGAGAAAAAAAAAACTGACAGTTTTTTTGGATTAAAACGCCGACTTTAAGGTGTGTTTCCATATAGTATTTATCGTTGTATTCTCGTTTTCATGGTCTCACGTGATAAAATGGAAAACATATTACAGAAATTGAGATGATTTTGATTAGTTTCACAATGAAAACGATGTTGAAATTGAGCTCAAAGTAGCGGAAATGTTTGATTTTTACCCATCAACTGGGGAGTCTAATATTCTTTCACTAGTGCACTGATATTATCTATACCATTTCTACAATAATGCATTAGTCTGCATAACAGTAAATTTTGTATTTTTTGTATGAATAAAAAAATCTAAATAGAAAGCAATAGTAATATAAGAGGGGCCTAGAGACATGACTAATGAACAGAGGATATGTTATTTTAGTGTCAAGAATGTCTACATTGTTTATTCTGGACTCTATTTTGAAATTGGCATCTTTTTTAATTTACGTGAAATTGGCCAAACTGCCAAATTCTGACCACTTTATTGGGTAGTTCAAATCAGTAAATGGGCAGTTTCTTGTACTCAACTGATAGAAAAAATGGATTTCTAAAGAAATAGCTATGAGTTTGGTCAACTGGAACAATGGAATTGGCCAAAAACTGGGCTCAAATTCGGCGAAATTGCCGATACGTATATATCACCGAGACCGCTAACTTCATGGGAGTGTAATTCCATGAGTTTTCGACCAAATTTCGTACTTTTGGTGTTATTACCATCGGGAAAAAGATTCTCTATCATTTCATAAGAAATTTTTTTTTTTTTTTCTAAAAATTTTGCAACATAGAATGACAGTTTCAGAAAGGGGCTTGCAACAGTCAAAGGGTCAAGGGTTAAATGATAAAAAGAATACCAAGATTCAAAGACAAGAAACCCAAAAAAGTATAGGCTGGGTCTAGTCTACAAAGAAACAAAAACACAATACTATATACAGTGGACCCCCGCTTAACGATCACCTCCAAATGCGACCAATTATGTAAGTGTATTTATGTAAGTGCGTTTGTACGTGTATGTTTGGGGGTCTGAAATGGACTAATCTACTTCACAATATTCCTTATGGGAAAAAATTCGGTCAGTACTGGCACCTGAACATACTACTGGAATGAAAAAAGTTCGTTAACCGGGGGTCCACTGTATATGTACTCTAAAGAAATGTAAATCACAATACCAAGGTTGAGACAACTCATAAATAACCTGCACTTAGAAGTGAAAACTATAATGATGTTTCAGTCCATCCTGGACCATTATCAAGTGATAACTGTTGTAACTTGACAGTGGTCAAGGACAGACTGAAATGTCATCACAGTTTCCTCTTCTAGGCAAAGGTTATTTGTGAATATCCTGTAACATTTACCATAAAAATGAGTAATACAAAGAAATCCACTACTCAAACAGACTAATAAAAAATACATACACAGTTCCTGGAAATCTCTCCAAAATCCTATGAATCAATAAATCATTAAAAAATTAACAAATAATATTCAAGGAAAATGAAATCCAAATTTTAGCCAAAGAAAAAATATAATATACATCAACTCTGCATCAAGTGAAGCTTCAAGTTGTCATATGCCAAGTTTTCTTTTCTGAAATCCTATGAAAACCCTGTGTAGTTTTTAAATTCAAGAATACATTTGTATGTTTTCTTTACATTATATAAATCACTCTCAAAGTTTTGTAAGAATAGCTCTGTATTAGTGTTATTTATATTTCTATTCCGAACACAGTTACCTGGAGTTTACCTGGAGAGGGTTTTGGGGGTCAATGCCCCCATGGCCTCGTCTGGTCATGGTGGATCAGGGTTTGATCAACGAGGCTGCTACTGCTGGCTGCGCGCAAGCTGACGTACGAACCACAGCCCGGTTGGTCAGGTACTGACTTTAGGTGCCTGTCCAGTGCCTTCTTGAAGACAGCCAGGGGTCTATTGGTAGTCCCTCTTATGTATGCTGGGAGGCAACTGAACAGTCTTGGGCTCTGGACACTTATTGTGTTGTGTCTCAATGTACTTGTGGCGTCCCTGCTTTTCGTCGGGGGAATGTTGCATCTCCTGACGAGTCTTTTGCTTTCATAAGGAGTGATTTTCGTGTGCAGGTTTTGTACCATTCCCTCCAGGGCCTTCCAAGTGTATATTATCATGTATCTCTCTCGCTTGTGTTCGAGGGAATACAGATCAAGGACCTTCAACCGTTCCCAGTAGTTTAGGTGCCTTATCGTACTTATGTGTGCCGTGAAAATTCTTTGTACACTCTCCAGGTCTGCAATGTCCCCAGCATTGAAGGGGGCTGTTAGTGTACAGCAGTATTCCAGCCTACAGAGCACAAGCGATTTGAAGAGAATCATCATGGAATTTGCGTCCCTAGTTTTGAAGGTTCTCATTATCCATCCTACCATTTTCCTAGCAGATGAGGTAGATACATTGTTGTGGTCTTTGAAGGTGAGATCCTCTGACATTATCACTCCCAAGTTTTTCACATTACTTTTCCACTCTATTGTATGGTTAGAATTTGTTGTATACCCTGACACATTTTTAATTTCTTCAAGTTTCCCATATCTGAGTAGTTGAAATTTCTCCTCGCTGAACTTCATATTGTTTTGAGTGGCCCTTTCAAAGATTTGGTTGATGTCCTCTTGGAGTCTGGCAGTGTCTTTGATGGAGGTCACTGCCATGGTAATCCGGGTGTCATCCACAAAGGAAGACACGGAGCTATGGCTTACATCTCTGTCTATGTCAGAAATGAGGATGAGGAATAGAATGGGAGTGAGTATTGTGCATTGTGGAACAGAGCTTTTCACCGTGGCTGCCTGGGACTTTACTCTGTTTACTATTACTTTTTGTGTTCTATTTGTCTGGAAGTTGTAGATCCATCTACCAACTTTTCCCATTATTCCTTTATCATGCATTTTGTGTGCAATTACACCATGGTCACACTTGACCATTTTTTGATTAGTACTTACCCATGAATATAATACTAATAATAATAACAGTCCAAATGCTAGACAGTGTGAATCACAGTTATTTATTTATTTTTTTTTTTTTTATTATCACACCGGCCGATTCCCACCAAGGCAGGGTGGCCCGAAAAAGAAAAACTTTCACCATCATTCACTCCATCACTGTCTTGCCAGAAGGGTGCTTTACACTACAGTTTTTAAACTGCAACATTAACACCCCTCCTTCAGAGTGCAGGCACTGTACTTCCCATCTCCAGGACTCAAGTCCGGCCTGCCGGTTTCCCTGAATCCCTTCATAAATGTTACTTTGCTCACACTCCAACAGCACGTCAAGTATTAAAAACCATTTGTCTCCATTCACTCCTATCAAACACGCTCACCGCATGCCTGCTGGAAGTCCAAGCCCTCGCACACAAAACCTCCTTTACCCCCTCCCTCCAACCCTTCCTAGGCCGACCCCTACCCCGCCTTCCTTCCACTACAGACTGATACACTCTTGAAGTCATTCTGTTTCGCTCCATTCTCTCTACATGTCCGAACCACCTCAACAACCCTTCCTCAGCCCTCTGGACAACAGTTTTGGTAATCCCGCACCTCCTCCTAACTTCCAAACTACGAATTCTCTGCATTATATTCACACCACACATTGCCCTCAGACATGACATCTCCACTGCCTCCAGCCTTCTCCTCGCTGCAACATTCATCACCCACGCTTCACACCCATATAAGAGCGTTGGTAAAACTATACTCTCATACATTCCCCTCTTTGCCTCCAAGGACAAAGTTCTTCGTCTCCACAGACTCCTAAGTGCACCACTCACTCTTTTTCCCTCATCAATTCTATGATTCACCTCATCTTTCATAGACCCATCCGCTGACACGTCCACTCCCAAATATCTGAATACGTTCACCTCCTCCATACTCTCTCCCTCCAATCTGATATTCAATCTTTCATCACCTAATCTTTTTGTTATCCTCATAACCTTACTCTTTCCTGTATTCACCTTTAATTTTCTTCTTTTGCACACCCTACCAAATTCATCCACCAATCTCTGCAACTTCTCTTCAGAATCTCCCAAGAGCACAGTGTCATCAGCAAAGAGCAGCTGTGACAACTCCCACTTTGTGTGTGATTCTTTATCTTTTAACTCCACGCCTCTTGCCAAGACCCTCGCATTTACTTCTCTTACAACCCCATCTATAAATATATTAAACAACCACGGTGACATCACACATCCTTGTCTAAGGCCTACTTTTACTGGGAAAAAATTTCCCTCTTTCCTACATACTCTAACTTGAGCCTCACTATCCTCGTAAAAACTCTTCACTGCTTTCAGTAACCTACCTCCTACACCATACACTTGCAACATCTGCCACATTGCCCCCCTATCCACCCTGTCATACGCCTTTTCCAAATCCATAAATGCCACAAAGACCTCTTTAGCCTTATCTAAATACTGTTCACTTATATGTTTCACTGTAAACACCTGGTCCACACACCCCCTACCTTTCCTAAAGCCTCCTTGTTCATCTGCTATCCTATTCTCCGTCTTACTCTTAATTCTTTCAATTATAACTCTACCATACACTTTACCAGGTACACTCAACAGACTTATCCCCCTATAATTTTTGCACTCTCTTTTATCCCCTTTGCCTTTATACAAAGGAACTATGCATGCTCTCTGCCAATCCCTAGGTACCTTACCCTCTTCCATACATTTATTAAATAATTGCACCAACCACTCCAAAACTATATCCCCACCTGCTTTTAACATTTCTATCTTTATCCCATCAATCCCGGCTGCCTTACCCCCTTTCATTTTACCTACTGCCTCACGAACTTCCCCCACACTCACAACTGGCTCTTCCTCACTCCTACAAGATGTTATTCCTCCTTGCCCTATACACGAAATCACAGCTTCCCTATCTTCATCAACATTTAACAATTCCTCAAAATATTCCTTCCATCTTCCCAATACCTCTAACTCTCCATTTAATAACTCTCCTCTCCTATTTTTAACTGACAAATCCATTTGTTCTCTAGGCTTTCTTAACTTGTTAATCTCACTCCAAAACTTTTTCTTATTTTCAACAAAATTTGTTGATAACATCTCACCCACTCTCTCATTTGCTCTCTTTTTACATTACTTCACCACTCTCTTAACTTCTCTCTTTTTCTCCATATACTCTTCCCTCCTTGCATCACTTCTACTTTGTAAAAACTTCTCATATGCTAACTTTTTCTCCCTTACTACTCTCTTTACATCATCATTCCACCAATCGCTCCTCTTCCCTCCTGCACCCACTTTCCTGTAACCACAAACTTCTGCTGAACACTCTAACACTACATTTTTAAACCTACCCCATACCTCTTCGACCCCATTGCCTATGCTCTCATTAGCCCATCTATCCTCCAATAGCTGTTTATATCTTACCCTAACTGCCTCCTCTTTTAGTTTATAAACCTTCACCTCTCTCTTCCCTGATGCTTCTATTCTCCTTGTATCCCATCTACCTTTTACTCTCAGTGTAGCTACAACTAGAAAGTGATCTGATATATCTGTGGCCCCTCTATAAACATGTACATCCTGAAGTCTACTCAACAGTCTTTTATCTACCAATACATAATCCAACAAACTACTGTCATTTCGCCCTACATCATATCGTGTATACTTATTTATCCTCTTTTTCTTAAAATATGTATTACCTATAACTAAACCCCTTTCTATACAAAGTTCAATCAAAGGGCTCCCATTATCATTTACACCAGGCACCCCAAACTTACCTACCACACCCTCTCTAAAAGTTTCTCCTACTTTAGCATTCAAGTCCCCTACCACAATTACTCTCTCACTTGGTTCAAAGGCTCCTATACATTCACTTAACATCTCCCAAAATCTCTCTCTCTCCTCTGCATTCCTCTCTTCTCCAGGTGCATACACGCTTATTATGACCCACTTCTCGCATCCAACCTTTACTTTAATCCACATAATTCTTGAATTTACACATTCATATTCTCTTTTCTCCTTCCATAACTGATCATTTAACATTACTGCTACTCCTTCCTTTGCTCTAACTCTCTCAGATACTCCAGATTTAATCCCATTTATTTCCCCCCACTGAAACTCTCCTACCCCCTTCAGCTTTGTTTCGCTTAGGGCCAGGACATCCAACTTCTTTTCATTCATAACATCAGCAATCATCTGTTTCTTGTCATCCGCACTACATCCACGCACATTTAAGCAACCCAGTTTTATAAAGTTTTTCTTCTTCTCTTTTTTAGTAATTGTATACAGGAGAAGGGGTTACTAGCCCATTGCTCCCGGCATTTTAGTCGCCTCATACGACACGCATGGCTTACGGAGGAAAGATTCTTTTCCACTTCCCCATGGACAATAGAAGAAATAAAAAAGAACAAGAGCTATTTAGAAAAAGGAGAAAAACCTAGATGTATGTATATATATATATGCATGTGCGTGTCTGTGAAGTGTGACCAAAGTGTAAGTAGGAGTAGCAAGATATCCCTGTTATCTTAGCGTGTTTATGAGACAGAAAAAGAAACCAGCAATCCTACCATCATGCAAAACAGTTACAGGTTTTTGTTTCACAGTCATCTGGCAGGACGGTAGTACTTCCCTGGGTGGTTGCTGTCTACCAACCTACTACCTAAAAATCACAGTTATATGATATATAATGCTTCCTCCAAACTGTGGACACTGCATTTACTCTTTTATCAAGAAAGAACATTCTGAGAGGGGTCACTATTTTGTTAATCAAGCTATGTCCATTCTGGCAAAACATAAGCCACCTAGAGTGTAGTAACCTTTTTTGCTGCTCTTGACTTTCCCAGAAAATATGCACTGGAAACCTCAATAGTGTTGAACATTATAGTATAATTAATGTAAGATATGGATACTATAAGATGTAGATAACTGGTATAATGTCCATTGCATATAGCACTGTATATAAAGTAAATACAGTAGTGCAATTCTGTTGTAAAAAATTAACAGAGTGCAAAAATCTTGATATTAAGTGTTGTAATCTGAAAAAAAAAAAAGGGCAATGACCAAAATTTTGATAGTACACTTTACAGATCTTCTCGGTCTGCTTTCTGGGCCACGAGAACTCCCAGCCTCCCACCATGTTTGCTATGTGAGGCCAAGACATGTTCACTAGACAGCATTTTCCTTACCTAACTAAACTTTTGCAAAATTTATATAACTTATTAGTTTATATAAGACACCTGCATAAAAAGTTTGAAGAGAATACAGTGTGAACAAATAAAAAATATGTACAAAAGTTCCCACTTATGTACCACACCTTTTTCAAACAAATTTTTCTTTTTATTAACATACAGTACATACTTACCCTGGTTGCGGTACCTGCCACACTGACGCTCGCATAGTTCAACAGATTGGAATCTGTTAGCATTGCCTTCACAGCCTCCATACGAAAAACCAATGCAACGACCTTGTTCAGGGTCAAAGTACCAACTCGGAATTGATGCTCTGCAATGCCCAGCATCCACAGGTTGCGTACAGGATTCTAGCAGAACTTTTTCAGGGTCTGCAAAATGTGTAAATACTTCAATGCATCTAAAAAACATTCAAACAGTTTAAATGAGTGATGAATGCAGTTGGACAGGGGTTTGAACCTTATTTAAGGTTAATAAAAGCTTTTAAATATCATACATTAATCTGAAGTTACAAAGGTACTTCCTCACCAGAAGTGAATTAGTACTCAAAGAGTTGTTTCTAATACTGACTTAAGAAATGAATCTTCTTTCATTAACAAAGATGTTGATAATACTGTTCTGAAGGTTTTGCGAATTTTGGAAGCTAGGTAAATCGGATATCCTAGACATGAAGTATAGTGCAACTTTTGATAAGACTGTATATGTTAGATAACATACTATATATATATATATATATATATATATATATATATATATATATATATATATATATATATATATATATATATATTTTATATATATACAATAGTCCTGGAAATGGGAAGTACAATGCCTGCACTTTAAAGGAGGGGTTTGGGATATTGGCAGTTTGGAGGGATATGTTGTGTATCTTTATATGTGTATGCTTCTAGACTGTTGTATTCTGAGCACCTCTGCAAAAACAGTGATAATGTGCGAGTGTGGTGAAAGTGTTGAATGATGATGTAAGTATTTTCTTTTTGGGGATTTTCTTTCTTTTTTGGGCCACCCTGCCTCGGTGGGAGACGGCCGACTTGTTGAAAAAAAAAAAAAAAATATACAATAGGGCCCCGCTTTACTGCGTTTTGCCTTACAGCATTCTGCTATTGTGGACATTTCAAATTATGACCAAAACTTGCTATATGGTTCCCACAACTGACTCTTATAAGATCACCGCACACCACCTGGTTTGTTTACATTCTCATTATGTCTGGAAACTTTCCAAAATTTCAAGTGTTTTAACCCTTTCAGGGTCCAGAGGCCAAATTTCAAAGTGCACACCAGAGTCCAAGAATTTTTCAAAAAAAAAATTTTGTTATTTTTTCTTATGAAATGGTAGAGAATCACTTTCTGAAGGTAATAAAACAAAAAGCACGAAATTTGATGGAAAATTGACAAAATTATGCTCGCGAATTTTGATGTGTCAGCGACATTTAAGCATCGGTGATTTTGCCAGCTTTGACTCCCATTTTAGGCCAATTACATCATTCCAGTCGACCAAATTCTTAAGCTATTTCACTAGCATTACTTCTATTCTATCGACTGAGCACAAGAAATTGCCAAGTCAACTGTTTCAACTACAAAATAAAGTGATCAGAAAATGGTCATTTGGCTAATTTAAATCAAAGTTCAAAATATTCCAATTTCAAAATAGGGTCCAGAATAAACAATGCAGGCATTCCTGGCACTAAACTAACATTTCCTCTGTTCATTAGTTACATTTTCAGGCTGTACAAATGAATTCCATTTTGATTTTTTATTCACATAATGAATTTGTATTCAAACCAAAAAAAATAAAAGATTTACTCTTATGCAATATTGTAATAATTGTATAAATAATATCACCACATGTGTGAACATATATTAGACCCACCAGCTGGTATGTATTAGACATGTGAGGTTATTTGTTTACTCTTGAACATCGGCAAAAATTTAATATTTCCGCTACTTTCAGCTCAGTTTCAAGCCATTTCCAGTACCAAAACCAATCAAAATAATTTCTATTACTGTAATATATCTTCCATTCTATCAAATGAGACCAAGAAATTGCAAATACAACTATAAAAGATACGAAAAACACTGCAAAGTTGCTGTTCTAATCGAAAACTATGGTCCCAGTTTTTTTCTCTCGTTATGTACTGTGTGTGCAGGATTTGTTTAATGTGCACACATACCACATAGATGTATTCTCTCATATCTAGGCCCAAATTTACCACTCACAGCTTATCAGAGTGAGCTGAGCTCATGGTGTAGATCTACGGTTCGGACCCTCAACTCAGCCTTAGAACTATGGCACTGACCCTGAAAGGGTTAAAGTTACTGTGTACATATTTTATATGTACCTGTACCTGTACCTAAATAAACTTACACACTGTGCTGGCATGCAGGTACACATTAAAATCACTAAGTGTCCCTCTAGTCTTGACACCATAGTAAGAATAATAATAATAGTAATACATAATAATAATAATCACTCTTGGGCACATTAAATGTCTTATTTTACATTAATACAGGTCTGCCATCACAAATCCGGCAATCAGTTATTCGGTTCCTTCAGTTATTTGGCACTAATTTTGGCTAGCATAATTTCAAATTTCCAGGGTCGCCACACCAACCTGCTGGTACTGTTTGGTGGCGCTACTTGCTGTATAAGTCATTCCAATTTCTTTTTCTCCATTTATTTAACCTGCTTACTTTTAGCCCTAGCCATGGTTCCAATGAATAAAAAAAATGCTTCTCATTATGTAAAGCACCTACACAGTACATTATCCATTAAAGATAAGGTGGTTTTGAAGCCACTGTCGGTTGCCATGAGCTCAGTCTCGTGATGCAGGAGAATATGCTTTATTATTATGCTAATATCAACACTATAGCTTATTTGCCTATCACAATTGATCTAATATGACATAAACACTATAAATTACATAAAACATGTTAAATACTCCAGAATGAATAATATTTGGCATAATACCGAGCAGTTCGATGGAGGTATGATAAGGATATGGCATACAAGTACCATTCTCCTATCCCTGTCTTGGAGGCTTACATTAGAGAAAACAGAGTATAGCACAGGACTAACTGTGATATACACTTGTACTGCATCATAAACCTGAAACAAAAAAGTTATTTTCTCTATACAGATTATCACACATAGCAGCATATGTGTAGAGAGCCTAGGATAACCCAAAAAAGTCAACATGGCTTATTTTTAGTACCTGGCTTGGGTTAGCCATATATGATTTTTGGTATATATTCGATTCCCAGCCAGGGTAGAAACATTAGGCATGTTTCTTTACACCTGTTGTCTATGTTCACCCATCAGTAAATGGGTACCTGGGTGTTAGCCGACTAGTGTGGGTGTTATCCTGGGACACTGACCTAATTTTCTTGAAATACTCTGCATAACAAGTGGCTTTCTATATATAGTAGTGTCACTGATGTCAGCTAGGCCTGTATACCTTGTACATGCACGTGTAGTAAATAAAGATATTATTATTATTATTATTATTATTTTTATATTATTTTCTCAGTTGTTTGTTGGGTTATCTTATTCAAACTTGGGCAATGTATGATGGAAAGGTACTTATTAAAGTACACCAAAAATGAAAGAAATCAGACCATAAATAGCGGAGTTCACTTCTCAGCCATTAGCGGCCACTTAGCGGTATACGTATTTTTGTACAGTAGGGCCCCACTTATATGGCGGGTTAGGTTCCAGGCTGTTGCCGGAAAGCAGACATCGCTGGAAGGCAGAACTCCATTTTTTCCATTTATAAATGCATATAAATGCCAGACAAATAGGCATTAAAAGCACACAAAATAAAATACAGTCACAGTAAATTCATTACTTATCTTAAAGTATTTGTAATCTTAATGTAGGGAGAGAGATGAGTAGTACTTATTTGTAGGAAGTCAGGGGCAGGTAGCCCAGGTGTAGGTAGCCCTAGCTCCCCATCTCATACTTAATATACGATATTTAAAACATCCCAGAGAGGTAAAATGCACATACAGTACACTCATTATTTACCTTAAAATATGTGTAGTCTTAATATAGGAGGAGAGGTGAGTAGTATTTATTTGTATAAAGTCAGTATAGGTAGCCGGTAGGTGTAGCCTGGTCTACACCTACCGGCTACCTACACTGTGGCCCAGAGCCATATTATTAACATCGACATGCCTTGTTCACTGAATTTAATCATTTCTAACAACTACCTTTAGATGCCATCATAAACGAAGGTAGAAGTAATGAATAATTCATGCTGAAAATTGTAAACAAAAGCGGAGTGGGGGAGTGGCTGGGCCAAACGCAGATTCATACACGTTTTCTCTAATGGCTGAACAGAGAGAAAACGTAATGCTGTCCCTCCACCCGGCTCCACAAGTATTATTATCAGAGCATATAAAATATGCAATAAATGCCAGACAACAAGTTTACACTAACTTATATTAAGTTAGCAATAGAAATAGGTATTAAAAACACAATAAAAGGTAAGATACACACAGAGTACACTTATTACTTTCGTTAAAATATTAATATTAATGTGTGAGAGGTGAGTGGCAGGGTGTTTATTGAATAAAATCAAAATGGCACACCATCATCCTCTAACTTGGCACTTAACCCTTAAACGGTCCAAAGAGATTGACGTTCAAATTCGTAGTGCTACAAAAGTAGATCTACTTTTTTTTACATATTTTCAAATATAACAAAAAAAATGTAGATAAAAGTTTTTTATACGTTTTCAAATGTAAAACAAAAAAGATGATCTGCAGTTTTTTACATACTTTCAGATGTTGAAAAAACGTATATATACGTTTGGGCCATTTAAGGGTTGAAGCAAGAGGCTTACGACTTCTCTTTTTATTACAGCTAACCTTAGACGCCATCGTCAATGAGAGCCAACTAGTTAACGAAAGAGTAAACGAGAGAGAGAACGAGATACTGTACAGAGTTGAGACAATGTAAGAACACAAACTGAACAGGTAGTGGACGATCACTTGGTCAGGCGAAATGCGTATTAATATGTGTCTACTTTTAGTTCATTCACGTCCATTTGTAAGAGTTTGTAAAACATTTACCTCAATATTTTTTTATTTTAATAATAATTACCTCACAATACAAATACAGTGGACCCCTGCTTAACGATCACCTCCAAATGCGACCAATTATGTAAGTGTATTTATGTAAGTGCGTTTGTACGTGTATGTTTGGGGGTCTGAAATGGACTAATGTACTTCACAATATTCCTTATGGGAAAAAAATCGGTCAGTACTGGCACCTGAACATACTACTGGAATGAAAAAAGTTCGTTAACCGGGGGTCCACTGTACATGTACTCTTACATTGTGTACAAGT